CATTTTTTTTTACAAAAGTTACACTTTCAGTCCTCTGCTTGATAAGAACAGAGCTACGGGAATTGCGGCCGCGTTCACAGACTCTTATAAGTCGCAAAAGGTGAGGACTCTGATCAGGTGATTACTAACATGTCGGCTTTCGCCTCGTATGCAGGCTCGCAGCTGTAATAGTTATCCTATTTAAGAAAGACTACATCTTTACTCTTAGTTATTCGGTTTGCTAGCAAGTTCACTTCTCAATTATTTTTTCTTAAAGTATCTAAAAACTGTAAAACAGGTTGATTACTTGGGTCTGTGGTAGTTGTTGCAAGGATTGACTCTTGAAATCTGCAGTTCCGCGGCTTGAAAAATCTAATTCCGGTTGAGCAAAATCGGCGGAAACGATCAAGCGATTTGTGACAGTCGGCAGCTTTCTCTCTCTTTTCACTGGCTCCACACAACCGACTGTCACTCCCGACAACTTTTGCCTATCTGAGTCTAAATCTAACAAGGGAAGGATACTTGGTCGAAGTGACGACTCAGGAACCGACGTATTCTATTAGATGCAGTTTCAGACGCTGATTTCAAATCTATCCTCCTTATCTGCGAAACACTACCTTGGAAGAAGTTATACGCGTCTAAAAATTTCAAGCGATAGCACCACCACTAACGAAGTGTGCAATGTTTCGTACGAAGCGGCAGATAATGCAGTGGTAAGTGCGGCATATTAAGATTGATGCAGGTTCGATTCCTCTCAATTCAAAACTTTTGCATTTTCTTAATGCGCCAATGTATGTTATTCTTGAATGAATGATGCATTTTCAGTTGAATGATGGTTAAACAAAGTGATATGTGAGCTTCACATCCTAAAGAATTTATTCTCCTCAAGCATTGTTTCAGCATGACTTATTGTCAAGCAAAGGATACACTCTTATGAACCTACACGATATGTTATTACAAAGTGTGTGAAGCATAGATGCTTCTCGCAGTGAGCACAGCGAAATAAACTAATCTTGTAGTCGTCACTTTTACAATCTACCAACAAGCTAGGAGAGAAACAATACTGACTAGAGGTTTAGAGTCATGGTGTTATCCAACATAGCCAGCCACATGCCATGAATAAGAGATGAAATCTTGAAATGGGAGAGCAAAACTGAGAATAGATGAAAAAAAGGAACTTGAGTATGGAATCTCTATGGTGTAATAGAAAATTAATCTAGTAGGCCTGTACATATGAGGTGAAACATTCGTACATAGCCTTAAACAGTAGGAAGAAGTGACGTTCAAATTCGAAATTTTATAATACCATGATTTTAGGTAAAAATGCGTCATATATTCATAAATAGCATTCATTGAGACATGAAAACATTCTTAAGAAAATGCAAAAGTGTTTGAAAGTGGGAGGAATCGCAGATGCATCACTCAGCTTAACAAACCACACACCTTTACACTACCTGCCTTTCCGCTCACGAAACGTTGAGTTCACTTTGATATGGTGCATTTTTAGCTAATAACTTCTTCCAGAGTAACGCTCTGCAGAGAAGGAAGGTAGACTTGGAATCAGCGTCTGAAACTGCATCTAATAGTATACATCGCTTCTTGAATTGTCACTTCGACTAAGTATCCTTCCATTATAAGAACAACTGCCTTGATTTGGCGAAGGAGCTGAGAGAGAAGAAGCACTCTTTGTCTGCACTTTGGACCCCAAAAGTCTTCTTTGTCCCAACTTCTGCGATTACTACTACACTTTTACCGCGAAAAAGAGACGATCATTAAAGTTGATACGAGTTTGCTTTAGGGACTCGAAGCCGTTCGTTTATGACCTGCACTGTGCTACTCGGTTGTCGCTGTATAGATTTGAGGTTAATGAGTCCTGATCAGTTACTTCATAAAGTACATCCAGTAAACAATATAGATAACTCAACGATCAGCTGTATGCACGGTACTCAGGTCTGTCTTCAACTAGCTGTCATACCTATCTAACAAAATAGCCAACACAAACTGCGATTTTCCTCCAATCCCTCATAATTTAACCACAGCGAATCTGCTGGATAAACAGATAACTCGCTTTTTAATGACATATAATTTTCGCACTTATCGTTGCACTATAATTAGAGTGAACACGTATGATAACTCTACCACAATTTTCGTATTTGTAACGGAAGAACATTAATGCATTTTGCTCTGAGTTAGATTAGATCAGCGATTCTGCAACCATAGAAATGTATTTGTTAAGCATTCACTAACAATTAGGATTTTAAGCAGGCAACGGTCTGAATTTTAAGTATATATCGTGCAGCTAACGCTGGCTTCATAAGTCCAAAAAGAATGCGGAACATTTTTGACAATTTCACGACATTCACGGCTAATATTCGTATTGAGCACACCAAATGGTCCAGAAAATGTGGAAACTTAAAGTAAGAAGTTTGCCCGGACACTGTCTCGAAAGAATACTTCACAAAAGTTAAAAGGAGGAGGACAAATTAGCAATATGACACTAGAAAAGGCATTCATTTTTTTAAAATGTAAATTTAACAGTGTTCTTACCTGTGGGAAAAACGAGACACTCCTGTGGGTTTTGGAACAAACTTCGGAGTTGCTTTCGCCTCATTCATATTCAACACTGAGTGACATCTTCTTAGAAAAAAAATGTAAAATCAACCATATTTGGTAGAGGTGATGAACAACACGGAAATGTACATTTCACACACACCAGATAAATATGTTCATAGCCAAACCTTAAATCAATAAATGATGCCCATATCATAATATAAGTATAAACAACAAGTGACAAGAGGTGAGAAGAATTTTCGCTAACAGCGTGTAAGTGTGAATAAAGCTCATTATTTCTTGTTCAACCTAATCTGATATGCACCAACGCCTTGACGTGGTTTGCTTATGGGAGACTCCCATATACCGGACGAACCTCGTCGAGGATAACGCTTTTTGTTTCCGAAGATCA